CCCCGACATTTTTGTGCTAGTACGAACCGACCATATGTTTTTGTATATGAGTATGTTTTGAAAGCCAACAATTAAAATTGTACCTGTAACATATTTTACTTCCTGTTTCAAACAAAAACAAAACTGAAGATGTAATTTGGTTACAATTTACTTGCAATCTGAGAGAATTCATTGCCATCATGATCAGGCCGCCAATCTGACTGTCACAGAGGTCTCAAGTAATGATTGCTGTGATTGGCTGAACCAACACTGGCGAACACACCAGAAACTGGTGCAGCTATGAATGCATGACACGTAGTTATGGACAACAACTTCGTTTCATTCTTTATACGACGTTTCAGAGCTAACTCGTGCTCCTTCATCAGGTGGAATCCTTCATCTTGGCCACGTATTTCCTCACAAGTGAACTAATAACCCCCTGTCTCCTGTACAAGGAATCATCGATATCGCCACAGGACATCACTGTCTCAGTAACCTGCCATCGTGTATTGTCTGAAAGTCTAGGCATTGCCATGTCAAGAAAACTTATATTTCTAATACCAACCATTTATTCAATAGAAAGGTCATTGGTCCACGTATAATACATTTCAAACAAATTTTGTCGTGACAATTTGATATACTTTATATGAATTTACATATCGAGCTGTAATTTTTACTGTAGAAGAGCTTCCTTGATTAACATAGCACAGTTGTGAAGTATAAATAATGAACAGACACCCAACAAATTTATATATTTCTGAACAGGGACATTTGTGCAATAATAATGCGGGAGATATTTTAATCTTATGCTTTTGGATAAGGGGCATATAAGGAGGAAATGATACCCATCTTCAATTTCCTGTAATTCACACACTTGACAGATCCTTTCTTCAGTCAGCAACCCTTCCCATCTTCCCGTGTTGATTCTTACCTGTAATTCGGATGAACGTTATAGAAAGTCGACGTACAATGCATAGCGTCCACAGTCGCCGAGAGCCGCAACGTTAGAGACGTGATTCCCGGATGAAAGAATGAATTTACAGAAGATTGAATGAAATTGTTCGACGATATATCTTCTTTCGTACCCCCCACATTTCTGATCCATACAAAATGATTGGCTTGATCTGAACGTCGAATATCTTAAACAGGATATTTGGTGATATGTTCTTCAATTGCCCCTGGAGTGCTTTGACGCTGAACAATGTTTTGCTGGCCTTGGATACTAGTACATCAATAGCCTTGCTTCATGATAATTTCGATGAAAACATCAGACCTAGATCATTATAATAAGTAGAGATATTTATATCATCTTCGCCATATTTCAATTTTTCTGTTCCTTCAACTATACCTCCATTTCTGGAAATTATCATCTCTGCTTTTTCTAAGTTTACTTCTAGTTCCCATTTGAAAGAAAAATGCTTTAAGCCGTCAATCTTCCGTTGCATTCCTATAACTGTATCATCTAAAATACACACATCATCGGCAAACAATAATAAAAGAATTTCCAAATAGTCTTGTCCAACAAATATCCCTCTCAGTTCCGAATCCTGTATCATGTGTTCCAGTTCCACACTGTATAACGAGAACAGGATCGGATGGCAGCCTTGTCTCACTCCACTCACTGTGTCAAAATAGTCAGTAAGAGATTAATTAGTCATCTTAACGGCAGATTTTACTTTTAAATATATATCCTGTAGAATATGAAAGAATTTTCTGTGAATACCGTTCTTCAGTATCATAAACCATAACAACTTTCTGTTCACACAGTCAAATGCCTTGCGAAAGTTTACAAAGAGACAATGCAATCGTCCTTTTCGTTTCGATAGGTATTTTTGAGCTAAACCCTGGAGACAAAACATGTTATCCACTGTACTGTAACCTGACCGAAATCCAGCCTGTGATTCTGGAATCTTCTCATATATTTCACAAAATGCTTGTAAACGTTTATTCAATATATACGTAAATAACTTTCCCAATATGTCCATCAAAGAAATTCCTCTGTATTTATTTACATCTTGAGTGTTTCCTTTCTTGTGGAGAGGTTTAATGAGTGCTTGTGACGTTGTGGAAACGTTCCCGAATACAACATTTTATTAAAAAGTACTGACAGGTATCAGAGTAGTATAGTTTTGCAACTCTTGATCATTTCCGGGAGTACCGTCAGGTCCAACTGATTTTCTGTTCTTTAAACTTGACACTGCTTGTAATATCTCCTCGTCGGTATCATTATTCAAAATGCTATTCAACTCCTCATCACTGCAAACCTCCCACAATAAATCATTATGGTTCTTCACAAACTCTTCACAGAATTCCAGATTTTCCTTTTCAGTTTCTGTTTCTGTCAAATTAAGAATGCGTTAGAAATAATCTTCCCATTCCAATGCTGAAATAGTTTCTGCTAATTTTGTTTTCTTCTTTGTGAAGTTTTGACTGTTTCCAGAAGTGTTTGGAGTCATCAAGTTGTGAAGTAAGTGTACGTAATTGATCTTCAGTCTCTTCAGTTTTCTAATTTCTGCATAACTTCCGATAATTATTCCGTAAGTGTCTAAATTCTGCCAAATCACTGTCCGAACCAGTAATACGCACTTTATACGTCGGCTTTAAGACCAGTAAAGAAAACGGTACAAAACCAAGAGCTTGGCGCCTTCGTAGCACGTGCGACTCATAGCTTTCGATACTGTGGAAAGTATGCTAGGTTATAATCGCCTGTTTGGATCAATTTAAACAATTGTCCTTGTATTCAGATTCTACTTAATTGATGTATATATACGGCTATAAAAGACCTGTTCAAGCGAGAAGTGTACGTGCCATTATGTATAGGTAATGGTAGATTGGTCCACAAGAAAGGAACATTCACGATTGGAAAAACTGATATCATCCCAAACGCTATCCAGCGTCAAATTGAATTTCTAAACTCAGATGTAATTAAGACACTGGAAATGTTTCCTGAGTTATTGTATTGATTTTACAACTCTGATGGACAGATTGGGTCATGATACACAATAATCTGGTATTGTTGAAATTACATCGCCAACAATCTTTTGGTTGAACCTCTGGGAAATGTATTTTGATTTGACAAAGTAGTCAGATTGTCCGATTTGTTTGGATGGATAATTACTGCATTTCAAAGTATCGACTCAAATAGGATGTTTGGGAAAATGCAAACAGGAATGAATGAATATGGATTAATAATGTCATAGGTGATGGATATTCCAACAAATAATAGTTCATGTTGACATCATGACCACTAATTTTCCACTCGATTCTTACAATCCCACTTTTCATTCAATAATTATTTATTTCCAAAGATCTATTCACAAAGGGACCTCCTCTATAAGAAACTTATTTTCGTTGTTCGTGTATAATCATGACTTGTAGCGGTTGAAAACTACTTTTATGATAACAGGTTTAAAGTTTAAAACACATCAAAACCAATCTGAAAGCGTCACAATATCTCAGATAAATCTTGTACGGCTTGAGTTGATTAATCATTTGTTCGGAGGCAAACCCTAACGATGAAGTGATTGTCGAAAATGCTTTTCCTGTAAATAGAGGCTCTCTGATATCATATTTATAGCACATTATTAGTTTACGCAGCTTGGATCTAATTGTGATCACACTGCATGGCAAACTGGTTGAAACGAGGCTATTTCCAAGTGTTATATGATCTCTGGTACTGTTTAGAACCTATTGGAACTCGTTTCTATTTGAATATCACATGCTCCAGACAATCAGGCGGCGCTCGTGAATCTCATATAACGTTTCCAATTCCAGTTTTTATTGCTTTTCGTCTGATTGAGTTTGTCTCCAAATCAAAGTGTAAACCTACGTTTTGTCTGAAAGGGACTAACCTGTCTTCACATTCTACCATCATGTTATACGATCTATTTGCGGCGGAATCTGGCTAACGTGTGCGAACCACAAACTTCCAGTGACTTCCCACAAATCATTCTGTTGCTTCTGGTGTTGCCAGAGAAATAGTCCTAGTGGCACCATATGACCTGGATCCATGACGCCATAGACCCATCAGTGCGTCATCAGTGTAATGTGAGAAACCATTTCGATTTATCCTTTTGGTGAACGATGAGCACAGCTAAACAAATACGCTATGATGTGTCAAATATTATTGATAATACTTTGCATTTAAATAATCGGGCAATTTGGACAGGATAACAATTATCATCCAAGTCAGAGAAATTTTACCACCGAGTCTCGATGGAGTCCTCAGTCATATCAATAGTACGGTGACACCTTGGTGCAGAAGGTGACACGTTTTTGGCGTCTTTGTGACAAAAATGATGTCAGATGTAATTTCCTATTTTGACCATACGTTCCCGAAATGTTTCAGGTGAACATATGACTAGATTTGGCTTATCTTCATGATGAGTGCAACGTGTTGGGCAGGATACGCCAACATTTAATATCATCACTATTTTGTTCACATGCTTTATTATAGTATCTCATGACGTTAATCACTGGATTGTCTGGTACAGACTCGAACCAGGGTGCCTCGGTGGTGTGTTGGATGGAGGGTACCCCTGGGGAAGGTCGGTAGATAGGCGCAATAATCGTAAAAGCGACGGGAAACCCCATTTCACATTAACTCACATTCCAGCTTATTAAGTTATGAAACTAAAATATTTCACTTATAGGGGCGGTGGGATAGCCTACTGGTTAAAGCGTTCACTGGTCACGCTGAAAACCTGGGTCTGATTTCCCATATGGGTACAATGTGTGAAGCCCATTTCTGGTGTCTCCAGCCGTGATATTGCTGGAATAGTGCTAAAAGCGGCGTGAAACGCTCTCACTCACTTTGTTGAAGAGGTCCTTGTCTTTAAGTCTTCTTGTAATTAGCGTCTTTCTTGGACTTTGACAAAAGAGCCTTCATAAATATGCTTTAATACTGCTGAAGGAACTTCAATCTTCCAGCTGTTCTGCCTGAAAGTGGATCGCTTGACAATTGATAAATATAATTGTTTTAATACTCTCAGATTCGAAATGCTGCCATTAAACGTAAACACGTTTAAATGATGGTTCCGAAAATATGATAAACAGATGAAATTATTGCTAAATAGGAAATACCGTGTTTTAGCGAACTCGAGTGGGATTTCACGGAAAGCCTGTTAAGCATTTGATGCGTAGTGAAACTGCGGTATTGTTTGCGTGAAAGGTTATTGAATAGTGTTTTGCAATCTGAATGTGATAATGGACAATACTCTTACTTCATTCTAACGGGATAAAACCCCGATATGCTGTCAAATCAGAAGCAAAACATTTCAATTATCCGTCATGGTATATGATGTCCACTTACAAGAGAAATACGGAAAGTTTCCATAAAGAGAAAGAATATTGAAACACTCCCCAGAGTCCTTAATCAAATCCAAATGTAAAAAACATCAAAATTAGTATCCCATTTTGTCAAATACACATCAACCACCATCATCAGCATCTGCAATACTGCCTGTGATCTTGCTATAAGACAATACGAGATAAATGCCTGATAGTTTCTATGTTAGAGTTGAACATGCATTTTGTCAGCACGTTATCCCGGTCCTCGTGACAAGACAGTCCAAATGAGTGTTAAGAAATAATTATTGTAAAAACGTGTATTATGAGAGCTACAAAAGAAAATTCATATTTGTATTTTACATCTTGTCACTAGTTTGTTTGTCACTTCACATGGTTTAAGGAACAATGTTGGCTTGATTAATGGGGTATTGATCAGTTCATAATGGAAAGTACAAACTTTTCTCGTCCAATAGTCTCGTGTTACTGTTAACAGTCGCCTTTCCATATAAACTTGTAACTGTATGTTGTGCCCTGTAATCTTACTATTAGAAAATTATATGTACATGCCTTTATACACCATCAACATTCATATTTCATAGACTCGTAATGTACGAAACACTTATCAATATTAAGCAAGTATTCACGCCAGCATCTGCAATAATACTTCTAATCCTGCTGCAAGAAAATACAGGGCCCCTATTCTCGAAAGTGTCCCAGCTAAGACAGATCCTTAGTAGTTAAGACAGAAGATAGGACATCCTACCGTTATGATAAAACCCATTCTCGAAACGATCCTATCCCTGTCCTAACTTGTGTTGCCTATTCTAGCTAGTATAGCGAGCTCTTCAGTAGGTGAGATAGAAAACCCCTCATTAAGTTGGGGATTCCCCTAAATATACTGAGTCAAAAACTTCACATTCTCTCTTTAGGGCACTATAAAAGAACAAGAGATGGTGAGATGGTTAAATTGTTAGTATTTCATTGCTGAGATCTGTGTGATGTACTCGATACACTGACAGTGCCATAATCAGTTCCATTAGGCGACACCGCCGTTCCAAAACATGGGTATACAGAATGTCAAGTCACAAGAATAAAAATGCGAAATTTCTCAGTTCAAGATCGTGTATGGCCGCCCCGCGCATTCACCACTGCCAAACACCGTCTCCTCATCTACTGCCTGATGCTTGTGAACACGTGGTTGGGGAATCTGCGCCATTGCTCTTGCAAGGCAGCGCCAAGTTCCTGCAAATTCTGAGGTTGGTTCCTAAGACCACGAAGCCTTCTCCCAAGTGCATCCCAAACGTGCTCTATTTGATTAAGGTCAGGAGACCTCGATGGCCAGTCCATGACGTTGATTCCAGCGTTTTGAAGGAAATTTCGTGTCTGAAATTATCATGCTGGAACTGTAGACCTGGGCCATGAGCCGCCATGAAAGGAACGAGTTCAGGGGTGAGCACCTGGTAGCGGTAAGCAGCAGCTGTGAGGTTTCCACGGATGACCAGAAGTCGGGAACGGTTGTTCCCACAGAAAGCACCCTACACCATGCAACTTCCGCCCCCGAATCTGTCGACTTCCTGTACACAACATTGGGCATACCGTTCACGACGTCGTCTCCAGACTCTATGCCTGCCGTCCGCGAATCTGAGGGTAAACCTGGATTCATCGCTAAAGACGACTCGATTCCAGTCTCTCTGGGTCCATCGGAGGTGACGTTGGGCCCACAGCAGACGTTGACGTTGATGAAACGGCGTCAATATTGGCCCACGATATGGACGTCGAGAATGGAGATTGGCAGCCTGCAACCGATTTCGAATGGTCTGTGAGGACAGTCGACCTCTAAACATCTCAGCCCTGGTTCGTGTAGCCGGCAGAAATCTGTCACGTAGGTGACGTAGGACGATTTGACGGTCTTCTGCTCGTGACGTCACACGTGGACGACCCGACCTTGGGCGATCAGAAGTGGTGCCAGTTTGTTGTAGACGACCTCGCAAGTCATACACAGTACGACGGCTGCATCCCATTGCTATTGCGACGTCAATAACTGATCTTTCCGCTTGCAACATGCCAACGGCACGTTCACGTTGCACATTTGACAATCGTGGCATTTCAAGTACCGTTAGAACTGTGGTTTAAAAGTGTTTTTTCAATTCTTGAGGCCAATGCAAACACGTGCATATGAAGAAAACTTCGATGCGAAGATCACGTGATCGACTGCACGTGCAAAACCTGATTTGGCACTAACGACATTTGCACGACGAATGGATGGGTTTGAGTTTTGCTAACGTTTTTCTAGGGTCGAAAGATAGGGATCCCATTTCGGATACATAGATGTATCATCAGAGAAAAATTATTCATTATTTTTCAAATTACATTTTGTGAAGTTTCTTTTTTGACTCAGTATATATTACCTATGATTCATTTCATAAAAAAACACATAATATGAGGAAATTCAACTTTTGATGGACTTAGTAGATCTAGAAGAAATTATTCGATATTTTCATCACATTATATAGTAGTTTTGAAGTTTTTGAAAATTCATTTTTTGACAAGGCGATAACATTTCTACTTCAGAGTTTGAAAGTCTGCCAAAAAACAATAAGGATATTAAAGATATGTGCAAAAAATATTTTCATTGTATTTGTTTTTTATGAAAATCATCATTTGAACTCTCATTATGCATCATCTCACAAACTGAAAAATTCACCTAGGAAATAAACAGGATCGGAGTTACTTCCCCTATCAAGTTGGCCTTGACATTGACATTTCACGGCAATGAGACTGGAAAGAGCAATGTTGTGATTAAAAAGGCCGAGATTACGTAAGAACTGAACGAATCTCTTTTGTAGATCTGAAGAATATGTGCATCGCAACAAGTCTGTCTATTCATTACCGATGAATTGATAATATAAACTCAAAAAACTCTTCGTAACACATCAAAACTGTGTGCTGTTGTAAATTCAAATGTAATTTAGGCGAGTTATTTTGTTTGACAACGTCAAAATTGTCAAACAAACAAGAACCACACCATGTTGATTTCCACTAAGATAGACTTAGGACAAGTCAGAACCTATCCTAGTATTTGTCCTAAGTTAGGATATCCTAGCGCTAGGATACTTTTCGAGAATAAGGTAGGACACCTATCGTAGACCCTAGGATCAAAGTTAGGATATCCTAGGGCTAGGATCCTTTCGAGAATAGGGGCCCAGGGTAAATGCCGAATAGTTTTCCCTCGCTGGAACGGAACTTGTATTTTGCCGTGGTGACAGCGCGTTGAACCCTCCCTTCGTTCAAACAACTGCGTTGGTCTCTGTCTGGCGCTCGGCATTAATGGTCCAACAAGGACTGGTCGGCTCGTAGTCAGTATAATGTGTCTGAATGGGGTATTCATGCTTAACTGCGGCATGGTATCTCGGTGAGCTAGCACTGTAAAACCAGCTTAAGTCTGGGCTAGTACAAGCAGCCGCACATACACATACACATGCATGCACGTCGTCATATGAGCGAAATATTCTCAAGTACGACGTAAAACCCAATTTCACCTCATCTCACCTCACCTCACCTCACCTCACCTCAAACAACTGCAGTTGCAAATAAGATGTATTATGCCGAGCTGAGAAAGAAAAGTCATACTTGGATTCAACGTCTTGTCATCTTGTCTTCATTCTCGTGAAGAACAATTCTGTCCTGATTAAATGCTATCGATTAGGTTTAGATCCCAAGCGCGAAATGTAATATGCCGTTTCACGTCGTATAGAGCGTCTTTGTGTGAGTTTTGACAGCCCACACTTCGTAAAGTGCAAAACTTATGCTGCGAGCTCCAAATGATGTTTCATTGGGTTTTTTTTGCTTTACCAGGTGCCTGTAATTGATTAACGTGTGATGTAAATGGCAGTTGGCAAGGACATTATTTCACTTCGTCTAATAAATTAAACTCGTATAATAAATGCAACAGAATAAAACAATTTTAAACATCCACTGTATGATGAATAAACCACGAACACGTGTTGGTGAATCACCATAAAATAATTACATGGACGTGTTCGCGCAACGGTGATCATATGTTTCTGGTTTATTTGTTGTTTAACGTCACATTCATCAATAGTTCTGCTGTATGGCGCCGGTCTTTAAATAATCGAGCCTCGACCAGAGAAAAGTATGATCAATATCATGAGCAACCATCTACGTAATTGGGAGACGATAACATCTGTCAACCAAGCCAGCGTGCCTGACCATCCGATTCGGTAAGTCATCTCTTTCGGCAAGCATAGGTGGCTGAAGATCAATTCTAACTCGGATCTTCACGGGTGGTGAACATATAAGTAGCCCACCGGTGACACCCATTGCAAGCACACATAACACAGAGGTAACAAAACCCTTTCCACAGTCATACGAAACGCCAAATTAAGTAGCATTCGTTCTAAGATTCACCCTGAAGGCAAATTTGATGTTCACCAACACATATGCGGGAAGGTATTGTACATGTCAAAGATGGGAATTGCACCAGGCAACAAGTTGATCAGTTGTGTCAATTTGTTCAACGTCCTCCCCAGATGTAACATTAAACATTTTAAAGCTTTATTTACTCAAACAGTTTACTTTAACAATCATCACTAATACAGTCATTTCCTTTCAACAACTCTCAACTGCAACTACAACGAATTTGTTAACGCCCACAGCGTTGCACTCTGGGATTCTGCTGACATGACCTTTACCCACCAGGATAAAATCCTGTCAAATATATAC